ACAAGGTTTTACGAGCCATAGATATGTGTGGTGCTGGAGTTACAATTGTTATGTTGTAGTTGTCGAAACAGCCTGATTTATATCATGTTTATTTAGTACTTTTTTCAGTATTTCTCCCTTCTGTGATCGATGTTAAGGTTTGGTATGCATATTTCTTTCCAATTTGTATGTGGACCTTCATGCCACATTACATTACTTTTTATGTTAATATCTTCTGTATAAGTAGTTTTTCTTTCTAATTTATATGTGGCTTCATGTTTTTGCCAAACTACTAATCTGTAAGCGAACATGCTGCAATCTATACGCCGATAAGTGTCCACAACTAAGTAAAAATTTATTAATTAGTTCTTTTTATTGAGATGGCCACAAAAATTGGTCTTAATAGAATTTTTGTTTTTTTAAAGATTATTTATTTAGAAAATGAGATGAGCAAAATGTACTCACAAATGTTTGTGTTTTTTATTGAGGTGGCCACAACTTATGTTGTTATTCACACATATCTTAGCTTTTCAAGGAAAGAGATGGTTTTTTATTGAGATGGCCACAAATTAGGTTGTTATTCACACATATTTGTGTAACTGGTAGAATCTTTGACTACATTGAATGGATTTTATCTCGATGATTTCTCTCCAAACAAACCATATAAACCCTCTATGTGGACTGAAGTCTGGACTGCATGGTAATTGCTTGAATTCTAACCAATTTTTCTTTAGTTTAATTAGGAAGAATTGGTTATTTTTGAGTCAAATTCACAACCTTTTGTTTTCTTTTGTATAAATTCAGGTTTACAAGGTTTGGAGGTACAGTTCCTTATCGACCCGTTGAAGATGTGGCCTTTGCTATTTTGCACAGTTCATACAGAAAGGTGGATCTTATTTCAACTACTATATGGTGAGGATTTAATGTACTATGTATTGTAGAAAGACCTCAACACATGCTGATGAGAGTTGCTGTTGGAATTCACAAGGAAGATATTGATTCTGCTGTCAAAACATACCATCTAATGTCACAGCGGTGGTTTACACATGCTTCTCCTACCTTATTTAATGTTGGCACTCCTCGTCCCCAGGTATTGTTCTTTTTCCTTTTATTTATTTTTATGAGTTGAAGGTAGTTTGAAATTATCCTCTGATTCAAGTGGAATTGTATGTTGCCAGTTAAGCAGCTGCTTCCTTATTTGTATGAGAGATGATAGTATCGAGGGCATATATGACACTCTCAAGGAGTGTGCTGTTATAAGCAAATCTGCTAGAGGAATTGGTGTTTCTGTTCACAATACTTGTGCAATGGGCAGTTATATTCGTGGAACAAACGAAACTTCTAATGGTATTGTCCCAATGTTAAGGGTGTTATAAATTCACAAACCTTTTGTTTTATATGTTTCTCATGTTTTTAGCTCACAGTAGGGATGTTTATTCTAAAAGACAATACTCGCTACTTGGATTTCAATTAATGGAGTTGGCTTTGCCTTGCAAATATCTACATTAAGTATTTAATTTTCCAAGTTTTTATTTTAGTTTTGAATGAGTATGTTATGTAAGATACTTATGTTTTTTTCCTTTTATGGACACACACACACACAAAAACTAACCTATATAATAATTTTTTATGGTTTATATTGAGATCTCTAAGTAGATATCTGACATAGTAAGTTGTTCATCAGTACCAAGTTAAAGCATTAGTAATTGACAATCCAATTAAATAATAGGGATAAATTTAGATACCATAATGCAAAATAGGGGTAAATTTTAGATTTGTTAAAAAAACCTTAATAAGATGAACAAGCAGCTAAGTATATAGTTGCTCTCCTTATCCTTCCATACTATACTGCTAATAAAAATGATTATCCACATTATTGAGTCTTAACTTAACTTGTGTTTATTCACAAGTTTTAATTTTAGGTCATAAAGTTAGGTGATTACTCTTGGAAACTGTAAAATTGTACTCATTATTTCCATACTATACTACCTTTCTTATCATTTTTGCTACTATATCAAAACTCCAAACATAATGTATTATAAATAGGTTGTAATCAGACTAACTATTGCATTTATTACTTTTCCTTTAGTAATTCTAAGTATTATTCATATTGTCCATCCAAATAAATAATTTGTTGCTAAGTCCCAAATTCTGTAGATTCAAAAAGATAATTTTTATTGAAATCCACATCCACTATTATAATAATCATCTACATGTCCTTAGACTCCAAGTTTATCCAAGAAACTTCAGTCTTGCCTGACTGTTTATCTTAAGTTCATCATCGGATCCTCTTCGCGATCAACATGCATTATTTGTCCCTTACTATTATTACTGTCGTTGCTGAGTCACAAATTCTTTAGGTTCAATATATCAAATACCTTTGAGCAAAGAAGCAAGGAAAAAGAT